TCCTGCTCGTATCACTGCCTGAGCAAAGATCCCAGCCAGCAACTCTGGCCATCTGCAGAGCTGAGCCTGTGGCCCCTTCTGGCTAGGGAGCTCAGTTGGTAATTCTACCTGATTTGGACCCACAATCAATGGGCCAGACTGGAAATGGAGTCTGTTCTACCATCCAGCCCATGAAGGCAAGCAAATACTCAGCCTCACCCAAGGGCTGAGCATAGCCTCCAGTCTCTCCTTCCAGGAAGCCTGGCCAGGGAACTGGAGCAGCCACAAGCCCATCGCATAGCCCCACTTGGTCAGGCAGCCAAACCAGCAGCCCTGCCTAACTGGTGAGAATAGCCACCGGCCCTGCAAAACCAGAGAGCTGGAACAGTGACACTGGGCGACAAGGGAACCCAGCCTATGGGACTGCTAGAGAGGGAGAGCCCACCCTACAATCCCACTCAGCCATGGAACCCAGCCTTACAACCCTGATAAGCAGAGGAGCCCAGTCTACGGCCCTGCCCAACTGCTGAACACAGTCTGCGGCCTTGCCCAGGCAGGAAGCCCAAACAGTAATCCTGCCCAACCAAGAAGCATAGCCTGTGATCCCACCCAACAAGGAAGCTCAGCGTAGCAGCAGAGCACAGTCTACTGATCAGGAACACCAGAATCCAGCCCTGCTCAACTTCAGGGCACAGTCTGCGGCCCCACCTAATCGCAGAGCACAGCCTGAGGCCACGTCGAACCAATACGTCCTGCCTGGGGCCCTACTTAAACATAAAATCCAGCCAGCGGTACCACTTGGTCGTGGAGCACAGTCTGAGACTCCACACAACAAGGGGTGATTGCTAAACCCAACCCACAGCCCTGCTCAATCATGGAATCCAACCAGTGGCACCACCCTACCAGTGAACACAGCCTGGGACTTTACCCAACTGGAGGTGATTGCAGAAGCCAACTAGTGGCCCCATCTGACTGCTGAGCAAAACCAGTAGCCCCACCCAAACAGGGAGATGGTCACCCAGTGGTCCTGCTTGAACATGGAGCCCAGCCAATAGGCCTACCCAACTGTGGAGCCCAGCCAGTGGCATCCCCCCAACCTCAGAGCACAAGCAATGGCCTCACCTAACTAGAGACCCCAACAGCAAGCCCTGCTGACTGTGAAGGCTACCAGCTGACCTGTCTAGGAGCCTCAAGCTATCATGACTGGTGAAGGTCT